CTATCTTGATATGTGTGAATCTTTAATCCTACAGCAAGAAAAAGTGATCAAAATCAATCCTTTGACCTTCTACTCAACTTTTAGTGGGAGTATATTTGTATAAATATCCTTCATTCAATGATTTTTTTCTATACAATGCATAGTTCTAACATTATTGCATATGTTGTTGATAATCCCTTAAGCAAGCTGCAATTAAGAGCCCTAAAACCGTGACTGATATAGAAAATCTTGCCCTATACTGAATTATATTATATATGTACATTCTCAAGAAGTTGAGTAGTGGTCATAAGACTTATTTAGCTATCTTGTATTTGTGATAGGATTATAGTGATTAACACATGCTATTATAAGAAAATAGTATATAGACATACAGATATGTGTACCACAAACATGTTACCTTAACTTTATAATTAGTAATTAATTAAACTTAAACTTGACCTCTTAAATTTTATTAAAACTCTATTACATCCTTAAACATCAAATCAAAACTCATAAATCATATTGGTAATAATTAAAACCACACAAAAAAACCTTCAGCAACAACTTTGTGATATACTATAAAACATGTTAAAAAAGCGGCATGCAATTTTAGCGAATTGTGGTAAAATGATGTACCGTAATAGCGAAATGTTGATTTAGCGGATCTCTCTTGTCATTGTTGATTTCTTTGTTTGGCTGCCATTTTGAATTGATAATAAAGTCATTAGCGACATCTTGAATTAGCGAATCAGTTCTCTTGCTAAATTCGCGAAAAAGACATGCTCTCGAAAAAGACATGTTTTACAGTAGTACATGTACCTGTGTTGATGAAAGGCTAGGATTTCGTAACAATGATTCAAAATCTTCTGTTGGTTTTTCTGTCAAGGGATCGGAAACATAGATGTTTGCTTGTTGTGTAGAAATGCTAACATCACTTTTCACAAGGAGAAATGTAACAACCCTAGAAAAATATTAACACACGAAAAAAATGACAAAGAGGACTCACTTGTGATGTAATAATGGGAGCATTATCAGCTTCATTGAAACTATCATGAAAGTAGTGGTCACTGACTGTGATTGTTTGGTAATGTCGGGGTTGTTTACTGACATCGCTTTGTACCATTATATAAACAAACACACTGTAATGAAATGCAATTCATGCAGTGAAGTTCCTAATACGATGTACATATAACTGTTCCATACTGAGCAGCTTGATTCCACACCTGTTTCACTTCAAGTGCCCATTTTGCAATTAATATGTTTATACATATGATAAGCGCGATAAGGTTCACTAAACTAAAAGACTGAGCATATTACAGTAGCATACACAATTAAAACCATAAAATTTTAACCCACACTGCTTGTATATGTAAACTTGGTATGATTGGCATTTCATAAATAAATTTTAGCATTACATAACACAGGATACACACAAGTAGTTTAAATATTAAATACGTGTTCTGTGTCTTGTCAATACAAAAAAAGACATGCATGTTTCCTATTGTGATTCACTTATGTGTTAGA